CAATCTCAATTTACACACGAATTATTAAAAAATGCGAGTAGACGAAGGTCTTCAGGTTGGTTTTTGCTGTGCTAGTTCCCAGTGTCCACGGGGAAATATGAATCATCATCAAGTTCGTTCAGAATGAGTGTCTGAAAGGAAGCCTGTGTCCTGGCAATACTGCAGTCAAGTGCGGCTGGTAAAAGATTAGGCTGGTCTAGAAGACATGTTAGAACAGTTTTATATTTAAACACACCCATTCATACACATCTCACAAAATACTTTTGTACCTTTTGAGACCAGCCGGGCCAACATGGCAAAACCCTGTCTCTACTAAAAATACAAAAATTAGCCGGGTGTGGTGGCACGTGCCTGTAGTCCCAGCTACTTGGGAGGCTGAGGCACGAGAATCTCTTGAACCTGGGAGGCGAAGGTTGCAGTGAGCCGAGATCACGCCATTGCACTCCAGCCTGGGTGACAGAGTGAGACTCTGTCTGAAAGAAAAAGAAAAAAATGGAAGCTGTCTCATAGTCATTTGTGCTAGAGCTGTTTTTAATCAGCTTAGGTGCCTTATTAGAGTATATTATCTAGAACTATAATAGATACAGTTCTCAACATTCCTGAGGTGGTAATAACAGCATTCCTATATAAAGCATAATTTTACAAAGTATTTTCATACATACCCACTGGCTCTGTGCTTTAGCCTTCTCATCTCTGAAATAGAAGTAATGGTAACAAGAACAACTTGTTCAAGTCAGTAAGTGGAGGAAGTCTGGTCTTTTCAGTGCAAAGCCCATGATCTTAAGTTCAATAAAGGTCGTTATTTCTGTGTAAAAGCAGCTGGAGCCAAGCTGAGATTCTGGCACTTTCCAAGCACTCAATAAATACTTGTAAATGAATGATGGAAAGAGGAAGGAAGGAAGGGAGGGAGGAAGGAAGGAAGGACGGACGGACGGACGGAAGGAAGGAAGGAAGGAAGGAAGGAAGGAAAAAGAGGAGAGAGGAAGGGGAAAGAAAAGGCAAAAGGGGTGGAGAAGGGGAAGGGAATTTGCCATTGATATTTGTAAAAAGCAGTCCTAGAGATTGTTCCCTACATTTGGGGTTCATGAAATAGTATGAACTTAATTGTAAGACTTTTCATCAATTATTTAAGAAACAACTTTGACAAAGTTACAGCATTACTGGCAATAATGCTGTCTACATCCTCATGATTTGGCTGCTCTAGCTCACATTCATTAGGGAATAGGTTAAGACAGTACTATACTATAGATTAAGGATAAGTACTATACATTCATTAGGGAATATACTATACTATAGGTTAAGACAGTACTATACATTCATTAGGGAATAGGTAAAGACAGTACTATACATTCATTAGGGAATAGAGTTAAGACAGTACTATACTGCTAGATTAAATTCAGTACTATACATTCATTAGAATATACTATACTATAGAGTTAAGACAGTACTTTACCATTCATTAGGGAATGAGTTAAGACATGATACTATATATATAAGTTAAGACAGTATATACATTTCATTAGGGAATAGGTAAAAGACAGTACTATACATTCATTGGGGAATACGTTAAGACAGTACTATCTAAGAATAATAGTGCCACCTAGTGACACTTCCTGATTATTGTCTCCAGTGCCTGGAAGAACAATAGTGCCACCTAGTGACACTTCTAGTTATTGTCTCTAAAATTGCCTATGACAACCGTTCTAAAAAAAAAGATCCACTTGAGACTGTGATGTGTGCAATCCGTCATCTTCATCATTTTTCTATACAAGAAACCTTTTCTTGATATTTTAGTATGTGATAATCCTTTACATCCTCATTCAGATTTCCCAGATGATGTTTCTAAGGGACCGTTTTATACCCGATTTTTCAGTAGTTCATGTTTCTATTTCAAAAACTGTTTCTTGTAATTTAAGAAATATAAATTTATTTTATATTTGTTTCTTATATTTTAACACATATCAATTTTGAGATGAAAATCGGTGTAATTGCTGCTTTTCAGGATAGACAATATTAAATATATACATTGTGAGACATTCTGATCAGGCTACAGGTATTATTTAATTAGGAAATTACAGGTTTAATGAGAAGCACCCACCTTGGTCAAAAAGGTTAGAAGTTGGACACTCCTCTAGCTTCTTCAGTTATACAAAGTTGAGCAGGTCAGGTAACTTCAGTAATCTCATCTGTGAAATGGGATGACAATTCCTACTTTATCCACTGCCTCGAGTTCTGAGGATCAAACACAGTAACATGCTTGTAAAACTGGTTCATGACCATAAGAAACTAGTGGTGGTGTTTCCATAATCATTTTCTTGGGAGGAGCACAACTGCCTGGGCTCAGGTGACTGCCCCCCTGCTTATTCCCTGTGTAACTTTGAGAAGTTACTTTTTTGCCCCTTGACATTTCATTTGTAGAATAGGGATAATAAAAATACTTACCTCAGACCGGCCGCGGTGGCTCATGCCTGTAATCCCAGCACTTTGGGAGGCCGAGGCGGGTGGATCACTTGAGGTCAGGAGTTCGAGACCAGCTTGGCCAACATAGTGAAACCCCATCTCTACTAAAAATACAAACATTAGCCAGGTGTGGTAGTGCACACCTGAATTCCAACTACTTGGGAGGCCAAGGCATGAGAAGCACTTGATTGAACCTGGGAGGTGGAGGTTTCAGTGAGCCAAGATTGTGCTACTGTTGTTCAGCCTGAGTGACTCTGTCTAAAAAAAAAAAAAAAAAAAAAAAAAAAAAAAACCTCAAAGGGCAGTTGTGTAATGTGCTTAGTACATAGTGAATACTCAGTACATGTTCACTATGGGACCACACACACACACACATTCTCACTGCAGTGGCCATGGGATCAACTAACTTAGGAGACTGTCACTATGTGGTTCTCAAGAGGAGAAAGATATTAAGTAGGCAAAGTTCTCATTGTCATCATTAATAATATTTACTGGACACCAAAAAGAAACAAGGTCTTGGCCCAGGTGTCTTCCACTACTGGATTCCACAACACTCTTCACAAGTAATATAAATGAAACAGAACAGTGTCTCAGGTAAACATAAGGCAGTTGTGAAACAACTACGTTTTTTTGTTTTTAATCTTCAAAACTTTTCTCTCAATTTTTCAAATCTGGCTTTAAGCAGATCAATAAAATAAGCACAGTTACAATTATGCCAGAGATGGAAACAAGGCTGAGTTGCAGGGGAGGAAACAGGTAGGACCTGGAGAGGCATTTTATAACCATCTCCCCCGCTAGTCCACGCTGCGCGCTCTTGCCTGGACAATGGCAACAGCCTCCATACTGGCCTTCTTGCTTCTCTTCGTGCCCCTCCATTCTAGACACAGCGCCAACACTGATTTTAAGAATGCACATCACCTTTCTTCCCTGCATTTCACACTAGGATTCTGCTCCAAATACCCTCCCTGGACCCATATCATCCATGTGTTCTCCCGATGCTCCTGCCACGCATGCCTTGGACAGCCTCGCCCTGATCTTCTTCACAGGGGCCCCGGACCTCCTTCCTGTCATTCAGATCTCAGCTTGCCACCCCCTCAGAGGCCTTTCCTGACCACCCTGTCATGCCTGCCCAGTTCTCTGCACAGCACTGACCTGATACTGCACATGGATCGTCTCCCAGCAGAGAAAGCAGTCTCACAAGGGCAGCATCCTTGTCTGTCCCACCCGTTATCCCCAACCCTTGCAACAGTGTGGGGCACAAAACAGGTGGTTGACAGTGGTTCAGTGATCATCAAGATTATCCCACCATATTTTCCTGTTTCCTGTGAAACACACAGCAATTCTCCACCTGGTTTTGTGACACTTTGTGGTGACTTTAAGCTTCTAAGTGGAAAAAAGAGCCAGATGTGGATTCTTGTATTTGTTAGATCTTGGGCAGGAGCTTCAGTCTAAACCTCAGGTCTATTAATATAAAGTAGAACTGATACCTCAGAGACCGAGATTAGGTAATGTGAAAGTTCATGAGCTGTCCCCTCATTCTGATGATAAAAGGAAGCCCAGGCTAACTGTTAGCAAGTGAATACAGACCGGCCTACTACCCCAAGTTGTAAAGCACGCATATTAAACAACATATAAATGCTCTGGTGCTAAGCAGATAAAATACCATCACAATACTTTTAGGAGGAGAAATCGGTATTGAACAATGTTGGTTAATTTTTTAAAACTGATTTTTTCCTTTTTTAGATTGTTCTCTTTATTCTCATACTTTGGCCTTAAGGATTCTAAATGCTCAGAGCAACCTTGTCTTTCAGCTTTCTAGTCTATGTGTTACATGAACTGCTTTCAAACACACAATAGTATTATTTCAACCTGGGATAGAATTTTCTGAAATTGTTCCAATAATCAATTACCCCAAGATTATTTTAAATTTCAATAGTGACTACAGAATTGTATCATAATAGAACAGAAATGTCCTGACTCTTTTAGGCATTTGGGGCTTTTCATAGACAGTACCGTGCTTCCAGCACTGCGAGCTCTGAAGTTAGGTGCTCTAGGTTGGAATTCCAACTCTCATGTCCTAATAGTTACCCTGATCAACTATTCACCTATGCTAAGCCCTCCCACTTGAAATACAAGGCTAATAAAAATCCCACAAGGCTGCTGGGAAGATTCAATAAAAACCGTGTAGGCACAATGCTCCACATACAGTAAATGTACAACTACTAATCTTCAGAATTTTGCCTCTTCTCAGAATCTTAGATGAATGCAATGTTTAATGTTTTCCCAGATATATTTATATTTATCATTTAATAAACATCTGACTAGAAGCATGAAAGAAACAATGGCATAACTAGTTTGCACTGCATAATAGTGTTAAAGGGTACTTAAAAGTTCTGAAGAACACTGTCCCATACATGTGAAAAATCAATTTTACCATAAAACCTGAGTCATATGAAGTTGAAAACCTGAAAAAAGGACTACCCGCACCTATCACTCATTTGTTTAACTTGCCATTACACTGCATTTGAGTCAGCATAATCTTTATTTCAAAATAACATTTTTATTATATAAAAATGTAAAAATCCAGCAAAACCAGAAATACGAATATATTTTTCTGGGCTTTCACATTTCTTGATTTTTATTCGCGATCTCTTTTTCAATACAATTTACACCCTCATCCCCATTTCCAGTCTGATTATACAAGTGCTAAGTGGCAGAAAGGTCTGGAATAAATACATCAAAAAGAGGCAAAGCTGTGAAACTAAGTTGCATGCAACAGGTTCTATGAGGGTGGGGGAAGTGTCTGAGAAATAAAACAGAGTAAGACAATGTAATTGGAAGGTTTTAGCTAAAGTTCTTTCAGTCATCTTTGTCTTTTGCTCCGTGTTTCAGGATGCGCGTGAACTCGATGTAATTGAAATTCCCCTTTTTGTCAATAGGTGCTTCTCTGTACAGCTCATCCACTTCCTCATCCGTAAACCGATCCCCCATGGTTGTCAGCAGCTCTCTCAGGTAATCTTCCTGAATGGTGCCTGGAAGGCCACAGAAAGAAGAAAGCAGTCATCACTACTTCCTGGCACTTTAACGGTTCATTTCTAAGCTACTCAATCTTATAAAATATTTCAGAATATCCGTATCTAGAAACAAAGTAAGTTAGTGAACTAAGGCTATATGAACTATACCATTATGTTTTCCAATTATTCTTAGAGTTCTGTGTTAATATTAGATCAAATCATTTAAAAGCTCAGAAACAGATCATATACTTACAAAATTATTCTTAAGCAAATATTTTTTCAAAGGTAAAAAAAGAAAACCCTTTCTATTTCAAGAGAAGTACTTCATATAGTCTGGAATGAGGCTGGGCATAAACAAATAGTACTCACCTGTTGCTTCTTCATCAAAGCAAGCAAAAGCATTTCTGATGACATCTTCAGGATCTGTGCCATTTAACTTCTCACCAAACATGGTGAGGAACATGGTGAAATTGATGGGCCCTGGTGCCTCATTCATCATGGCATCAAGGTATGCATCCGTGGGATTCTTCCCTGTTAAAAATGCACATTTTAACATTTAAAGACAAAAAAATCTAACTTCAATAGTTATTTCACTATTACTACGCTCCCCAACATGTTTTAAAAATTTACATCATTTGACACCAATTTTTCAATTAACTTTAAGAACATTTTAAAAAGATTATTTTTGACAACTTAAAAATATTTGATACATCATTATAAAAATGTATTCCAGGTTTACACTGAACGCTATTTATTCGTTTATGTGAACTTTCTCTTCATTATTTTTCATTAAAAACAAAACAAAAACCTGAAGCCAGGCAGTGCCACATTATTACAACTTTTTTTTTGGGGGGGACTACAGACATGTGCCACCACGCCCAGCTAATTTTTTATTTTTTGTAAAGACTGGGCTTCACTATGCTGCCCAGGCTGGCCTTGAACTCCTGAGCTCAAGTGATCCATCTGCCTTGGCCTCCCAACGTGACAGGATTGCAGGTGTGCATCACCACGCCCAGCCTATATCCTGAATGCTGATAACATCAATGGTTCATCAGGGGAGTCGGTTCAATAGAGTCATTCAAAACAATCTAAATATTCACATTTCCAGTTGTGGTACGGATGCCCATGAGTTGGTATGCTTCAAAGTTGTATTTATAAGTTGGCCATTTAAGTTTAAACTATTAGCATGGTTTTGAATTGGGAGCTTATTTTGAACAATGTTAGATATCTTCAAACACTGTTTACACATGTCATTGAACGGTGGTCTTGTTTGGTATTGTTTGCAATGGGAAATCTTAATCTCCATCCCAAGTGTGAACAGTTCTTTTAGTGCAGCGGTGAACTCCCCTGACCTTTCCCTAGGAGCTGGAAGAAATCTCCCTGGAATGGCCAGACATGGTGGGAGTGTTTTTGAGGCCCCACAGTGTGGGGGAAGCAGCACTGAACCAAGGGTCTGGAATACGGGGTCTGAATCCCAGCTCTACCACTGGTTGTGGGACACAGGAGGAAGTGGCAGAACTGGCACTCAAACCCAGTATTCCAGATCCTTCATCCAGTGCTGCCCTATGTAGAACTTACTTCTTTTTTAAAAAAATCTAACGCTGACTGGTTAAAGTTTGTATCTCAAAGGTATCTTCCAACATTAAGTTTATATGATTTTACATGAAAAGAATATCTATTAGTCAGATATTCGTATCTAAGGAAGCATCTCAAAATTACACCCAACTAAGCCAACGCTAGAATGACAATCAAAGCTACAATTATAGTTCATATGTAAGTTTTAACTCTGGGAATTTGGGTGAAATTTAAACATCATCATGTTGGCATCTATTTCACTGCATTCCAATCCTACCTGATTACACTTACTCAATGCTCCAATATCAAAATTAGCCCAAAATTAAACTCAAGATTCACTGAATAAGTTAAAGTAGCTAAAAAGATCTACTTTCGGCTGGGCGCGGTGGCTCACACCTGTAATCCCAGCTCTTTGGGAGGCCAAGGCGGGCGGATCACAAGTCCAGGGGATCAAGACTATCCTGGCTAACACGGTGAAACCCCGTCTGTACTAAAAATACAAAAAATTAGCCAGGCATGGTGGCGGGTGCCTGTAGTCCCAGCTACTTGGGAGGCTGAGGCAGGAAAATGGCATGAACACAGGAGGCAGAGCTTGCAGTGAGCTGACATCACGCCACTTCACTCCAGCCTAGGTGACACAGCGAGACTCCATCTCAAAAAAAAAAAAAAAAAAAAAAAAAGAAGAAGAAAAAAGATCTACTTTCCTACCTCCAGATTTAACCCAATCACTTGCAGCATTTTTGGGGGGGAAGAAAAACTGTAACCAAAAGGTGTGAAGAGAACTCTAGGGTACAAAAAGCTACAGGGATTTAAAATGAATTGGTTTAGGCTAACCACTTACAGACCCGCTCAAAACACGCAATGTAATCTGTTGATTTGAAAGGTAAATACGTATCTTTTGAAAATTCATATTTATTTCAATTGTTATGGGTACACAGGAGGTGTATGTATTTATGGGGTACATGAGATACTTTGATACAGGCATATAGTGCATAATAATCACATCAAGGTAAATGGCACAGCCATCCCTTCAAGCACTTATCATTTCTTTGTGTTACCAACATTCCAACTATACTGAGTTATTTTAAAATGTACAATAAATTACTGCTGACTGCAGTCACCTTGTTGTTCTATCAAATACTAGATCTTATTCATTCTATCTATACTTTCGTATCTATTAACCATTCCCATTCTTCTCCCCACCCTTCCCAGTCTCTGATAACCATCCTACTTTCCATCTCCATGAGTTCAATTATTTTAACTTTTAGCTCCCATAAATGTGTAAGAACATGTGAAGTTTATCTTTCTGTGCCTGGCTTATTTCACTTAATATAATGTCTTCCATTCCATCATGTTGCAATGACAGGATCTCATTTTTTATGGCCGAATAGTATTCCATTGTACATAAGTACCACATTTTTTAAATCTGTTCCTGGTGATGGATACTTATGGTGTTTTCAAATCATGGCTGCTGTGAATAGTGCTGGAATAAACATGGGAGTGCAGATACCTCTTCAATTATACTACTCATTTCCTTTTTTGGGGGTATGTACCTAGCAGTGGGATTGCTGGATCATGTAGGAGAGCTCCTATTTGTAGTTCTCTGAGGAACCTCCATACTGTCCTCCACAGTGACTGTACTTATTTACATTCCTACCAATAATGTATGAAGGTTCCCCTAAAAAGTAAATATATATGCTAAAGCAAACTAAATATGGCCGGAGAAAGACTCCGTACTTCTCATCTGAGTCCTTGTGGATGAACTATAACCTAGCTTAATAGTCCGACAAGATTGAAAACCTAACTTAGGAGTACGAGCCTGTAACAACTGCTAAGTCTTGGCCAATCCCAGCAGCCATACTTCAACCATTCATACACTGCTGAGTGTTCAAACCATGTTCAAAGAAGCCCTATGCCGAGCCGTAATCAATCCAGCCATTCCATACCTCACTTCCAACCTCTGTACGTCATTTCCCTTTTTTTGTCTATAAATCTTCTTCTACCATGTGACTGTACTGGAGTCTCTGTGAATCTGCTGTGATTCTAGGGGATACCTGATTCACAAATTGTTCATTGCTCAGTTAAACTCCCTTAAATTTAATTAGGCTGAAGTTGTTCTTTTAACACATATCTTTAAAAGGATGGATTTCTGCAAAACAGAAGGCCTCAAAGACAACCTCTGACTCTACCACAACTTGTTCATTCAACAAATATCTATTGAGCATCTATTATAAGCAGAGTATAGACTTGAGAGTCCAATCTTTGGAAGACGGCGAAGTTCCTCAATTTTCCTCAGAGGCCTTCTTCAGTACTGACTTGCCCAAGAATATACTCAGACATTCTGAATGTGAGAAACACTAGGTTATAATCTCACTGCAAGTCAACAAATAGAGAATAAAAATCTTTGCTTCTACTCTCACCTTGGATAAACAAAAGTTACAAAATGTTAACAATCAGTGAATATAGCTAAAGATGTATAGGTGTTCACTATAACGTTCTTTCCACTTTTTGTAGGCTTAAAATTTTTCAAAATCATATGTTGGATAGGAATAAGTACACACCTGAACTTTACTTTCAATGTGTTAGGAGAAATAATCAAAATCAAAAGTTAGAAGAATAAAAGCTAGCTAATCATTTTGTAGGCATTAAAAGAAAAAAAAAAAAAAACCACCCCCCCCCCGCCCCCCTCTTTCTTTGCCTTTTTGGCCAGTCAGCCAAGCAGTAGGACAGAGTGCAAAGTCTCACTGTAGGCCATCCCTGACCCGCTCCCAGCCTGCCTCGCCCCCTCCGCTTTGGCCTATCAAGGTCTCCTTTGCCTGCAGTTCCTTGACTCCCAACTGTAAAATAACTGCTGACTCTGGGCAGAACATGTAGGATGCTGCCTCCTGTCCTTCTTTTTAAGATCAAAAGAAACAATAACAAAATCATAAAAGGAATATTAACACCCATATACCAACATACAAATGGCTGTTTATGTGTGCTTTAAATCCTGTATCTTTACATTTTCTTTAGTTATTAAAAAAAGTCATACAAAATATTGTGAAAGTCTTCTTCACTGTTCCCTTTTCCAGTCGCACTGCCCCTCCTCCGCAGAGATAACCATCATCACTTACTGTCACTCCTTGTTTATAACCCGTACTCAACCTTTATTAAGTATATTATTTAGCTATACTTATTTGAAACTCTGGTATTTTGCTGCCTAGCCATGCCTTGGCTTTCCATTAGAGACCTAAAAAATTTAGCTAACAGGAACGTTAGTCTACCTGGGCACAGCATCT